TCATAATTACTAAACTGATTCTTTTATGTTAAAAGGAGACAATATTGGGCTTGGACTATTTTTCCTTAAGTCAATATCCTAGGCCTCCCATATCTTTAAGCGCAGTTTTCTCCAAAAGGGTGACCTTAAATTTATTCCAAGGTAGCTTCTTATCCAAGCTTCTCATTCAGCTCTTGGAGCTGCCTTCTAGGAAGGCCGTCCCTCTGCCACAAGTAGAAAATAGAAATGGTTTCCTGGAAGAAATCACCATGGACACTGAATTTACAGCCATTCTGCATATAGTAACAGGAATTTGGCCAGCACCAAGGAGCCATCAGGGTTTTATCTGCAAGGCTGATCTTTTGATATTCACAACCTGTAGAGGTCCTCCCTCTGAGAGCCGTGGTAATTATTCCATCTTCCTATAGAGGTCCCCATTTGGTTCCCCTACCTGAGCCGGTCATAGGGAGATACCAGGAGGTGAACCGAGCCAGGGGGTGTGCTCTGCCTGAGGAGCGCCTGTTGCCTGGGTTGGACGGGGAAGAGCACAGAATGGATGGGGAAGAGCACAGAATCGCTTGTTTTCTGCACAGCCATGCCTGTCCATCTCTGATGAGTTAGCCTCCACCAGATTCAGCTTTTTCTCAGGCTTCTGAGGCCTTGGAGCAGCATGTTTCTCCCATAGGCTTTGAGCAGGCTCAAAGAAGCTGTGAGCCTCTTGCAGGATGACGTGGTCAACCCTCCCATCAACTTTACCCTCAGCAGTTAATAGGCCACCCTTCCTGATTCTCCCATTCTTCCGCTCCTTTAATCAAGCCAACATCCATCACCTCCCTCTTTCAGACAAGATCTTAGTTAGTCTATGTCCCCCCTCAACTTTAGAAACTGTGTGATATTTTATCCTCTGGTGGGTTCACGTGAACAGGGCTGGTCTCCAGCTAAACAGGAATAATAGCCCCTCACACCAGGAAGGCACTGGAAGCAGAAAGGTGAAAAAAGTCCTGAAATCCAGGCCCTGCCCAATTAAGTAGCTCAGAACTTCACAGGTGGAGACCCCAAATCAGGACTTTGTAAACTCCAGCAAGTACCAGGAAGTAGTCAAGGTGAAGAATCACTGCTTCAGAGCTCTGGAGTCTGCCACAGGGACAGCTGTCACCCAATTCTAAAAGCAGAAAGCTACGGTTGAGAGGTGTATGCTACATAGCTCTGACACCAGTAAGGCTGCGTCTTGAAGCCAGGCTCTGGCTCTCGGGTTTGGAGCTTTCAGTGCTGACTTGAGCTCCACAATCACTGCAGAACCCAGAGAGTAGGATGGTTTTCAACGTCTGTGTCTGCCCCATCAGCTGACTTGCTCCTGGGGGCACGTAGGGTTCTGAGAGCAGGTACTGAAGGACCGAACACACAAAGGTAGATATCCTGCACTGCATTGTGGCCCACTCTCTCCTGCAGTTGGAAGCCTTCCCTCCTGGGCCTGGTCAAGCCTCTGCCAGCTTTCCAGGAGTATCCATGTCAGAAAGGGGCCATGAGACATCAAGGGAATGGCCAGGTCAAGAGTCAGCCTCCCAGGTCACAGGCCCCAACACCTGGGTGCTCTGCATTAGTCACAACTGCCTTAGCCTTTAGCTTCTCTAAAGTAACCAACCTTCCTGTCTACTCCAGACTAAGGGGGCTGTCAAGATTCAGGTTTTTTAGCTTTAAAACCAAGACAAAATGGTCACTCTGCAGACCTCTCCCCAGTACTCGTTGACATGTTGTCCCTACTGGAGTCCCCTGCCTTAAGCTCTTCCCCTTTTACTTTGCCCATTGTTATTTTTGGGGGCCTATGAGCATGTGACTGAATTATCAGTGGCCTTGAGCTTTCTGCTTCCTTTGGGCCTGGGCACAGCTGCGTCACTGGCCCATGTGCGCTCACTTCTGTTATCTGTATGGTCTGAGCTCACATGCAATCTTGCAGTCCATTTACCCAACATCTCCTGAACATCTACTATAGGCAGAGGATGCACAAAGGTCCCCGAAGAGCAAGGGAACTACCAACTTTTTCCCCAGGAAAAGGCTAGAGATATACTGGCGAGGCAGGCTTCTTAGAGGTGACATGGGACCAGGCGTGTGTGTGTGAATGCCCACAACACAGCCAGAGGAAACATCCTGTGCAAAGGTGTGGGTATGCAAAAGTGGGTGGCACGTTCTGAGGCCAAGCAGTCAGGGTGTGTGGAGCACTGGTCCAAGTGTGGTGGGGAGGGGTGGAGGTGTGGGCCAGTCTGCCACAGTGTCAGTCAATGAGAGGCACCCACTGGCCAAGGATTCGGCTCCTTCCCAAACTAGATGGGAGAATTAGGATCCCACCTTCTCCAGCTGGTTCCCCAATGTGGCCAGAGGGAAATCCAAGGAAATGACCTGATCTTGAGATGACACTGTCTTCTCTAGGCCACACTTGAACACCGCAATCTCTTGAGCAATTCCCTGTGTGGAGCTACAGGCCAGGCCAATTAATCAGAAGGGGTCAAGGAAAAAATGTGCACTCACAGGGGCATTTCTAAAAGATCCCAAAGGAACCTCAGTGTAAAGGCAAAGTTGAGGGCCTGGTGCTAGAGGACAAAAGGATGAAGTGCAATCAGATTCTGAGGTGGGAACTTACCAAGGGACTGAACACCTGCCAGCTTCACCCTAATCCTTTCCCTCCCATTTCCCTCTCATGTGCCCCATGAAACAAGGGCATAAAAGGGACAGGTGGGGATGACTACCACCCTTTGAGAAATAAGAGCTAGCTGAGGTTTTGGAGGTCATTTTTGGTCATACTTGAGAACTTCAATAGCAGCCCAGTCAGCAAGAAGCTGGAATCTGAACGGAATCCAACAAAATTTACAGTCGCTTCCACTTCCTCTAAACACAGCAAGCCTAAGGAAATAGAGCAGGACGCCTAGACCAGCCACAGGCTGGAATATGCTGCCCTCTAATGGGAAAGCACAGGTATACCTCCCAACCTGTCTATTTCCACCAGCCTCATCCCCACCCTTCTCTCCTTTTCATTAGCAACTGGTTGAATATTTTAGAACCAAGAATTTGCCATGTAGGGCTGGGGATGTAGTTCACTGGTTCCACCGCCTGCTTCGCAAGCCAAGGTCTGGAGTCCGATACCTGGTACAGAATTTGCCACGTATAGTCTGTGACAAATGTTTTACAGCTCTACACCCAGCGCTGGCAAGCCATGCTCCTCAGTCAGCACCCATCTCCCACCTCTGGTTGACCCCACCCCACCCGTCTCTCCAAGGGAACGCTGAAGGCAGGTTGGTGCGGCTTGGGCAATGGGGCTGGCCAGAAGAGGAGTCAGCTTCTCAGGGACTCCCTGTGAGGCCTTCAGGTATTTGGTCCCTTGTTTACACAATGGCAATGCAGGACATACTGTAATGCAGAGGGTTGGTGGTAGAGATGCAGAAAAGTAACTCTGCGTGGTTTCCAAAGGGCTATCAGGAAGCCAGGAGTACAAGGGTATGGGTCTTAGGAATGGCAAACATACCCACCCCATTCACCCAGTAACATCACACTTCTCCCTGCTGAGGCTCAAAGCCACAAAGGGTTTCCCAGAGCAAGTCTGTAGGGCTTTGACTTGTATTTGTATCTTTTTTTCCCATATTGATATTCTCTGATTTGACTTGGGGTCCTCACTTTATGCTTCACTGTTTTTAGTTATGGCATCATTTTGTTCAAAATACCCCCTCTCCCCTCTTCCCCATTACCATTACAGTGCTAAGGATGGAACCCAGGTCCTTGTCATACTACACAAGTGCTCTACTACTGAGCTAACCCCCCAAGCCTCGTTCCTTTCAATATGCCTTCTCAATTCTTTTCTGAAATACGGCAGGCTATAAATAAGACTACAGGGCTGGGGATTTAGCTCAGTGGCACTGTCTCGCAGATGCAAGATACTGAGCTTGATCCCTAGTACCAAAAATCAGTAAATAAGACTACAGTAAGTCCCTGACTTATGAACAAGCTATTTTGGAAGAACGTTTATAAATCGGATTTGTTCATATCCAACAAAGTAAGTCTCATATGCTACACTTGTGAAACTTGAATGTTTCTAAGTCAGGGACTTAATGAACTTGACAGGTCTTGCTCTCACACATACTGAGCTAGTTCAGCATATACTGTTAAATTCTATCATCTCTGATTAGGACAAAAGCCTATGAGACAGTGGTTCCAAAACACACGTGTGTGTCAGACTTTAAAAAGTGTTCTAGTTCAGAAAGTTTTGGATATATCTCAGAAATTTGTGTTTTAAAGTTTCCCAGCTGCCTCTTAGACAGCTGGCCCCATCCCTAATCACAGAGCAGTGTTTGAGTCTCTGGCCTGGAAACACACAAAGGGGTCATTAGTCGTAACAATGAATAATGCTTTTACAAAATATAATTTTCTAAATAAAATAAATCTCAATTTTATTCAGCTGATATTCCAAAAACATTAAGTGTAAATTCAAATTTGCAAGTAAAATCTACTGAAATTCAAACCATCAAGGGGCTTCAGGAAAACTCAGCAGTGGAACTTTCTATAAAATCAAAACTCTCCTTAAGTTTGGCTTTTCTTAAAGTGGACACACCTGGAATACACATCCCCATAATAAATATATTCCAGGTTCCTCCTCACAGCTCATGTTTCAAAACACAAGCATGCCACCTCTTGTAGTAGATGGCAGAGGCTACCTGTGGGTTTCAGCCAGTTCCACCTAAGAACTCAGCCCTTTCCACTAGAGGGCCCTCCTCCCCTCGCCTAGGATCCTTGCCTACACTCTGGAAATAGCTGCGCTGAACAGCCACTGCTTCTCAGAGTAGTGGATGCAAAAGTGAAGGACCGTCTCAGTATCTGTGGGTTTCCAGATGCACTGGCTTTTGTTCCCTAGCCCCAGGCAATAAAGACCCACAGGTTTTATTTCAAAGTAGGGAGAACTGGCTTTGAAGAGGCAGCATGAAGGTTCAAGTCCAACAATCACTATGAAGGCAAGCATGGAAACATACTGGCATACACTACCAAAAGGTGTACTATGAGCCAAAGGGCAGGTGGTTGGAGAGGATTCTACTCCCAGAGTTCAAGTCCAATGTCTCAGCTATGACTGGTACACTTTCCTCCAAAGCATTGTGTGACAGGATTCTCAAGTTGCCAGGGAACAGGACAGCCAATTCTGTGCAGTCTAAAAATCCATTTTTCAGCCTTCCATGACCTCCATTAGGTGAAATGAAAATTTCAAGTGGTGTCCTCTCAAAGTCAGATCTAGTTGTGAAGGTGTTGCAATCCCTCACACTAGACCACTGTTTTTCATTCAGTAGCGTTGTTGATCATTTTTTAAAAAGGCCAGTCTTCCTTCTTGGAAATCTAGGGTTCTTGTTTGGACCAGAATAGGAGCAACAGATATCCTATCTGAGCAGAAGTGTAAGACTCATTTAAAAAACCTGTTACAAAGAAAAAAAAATTCACCAAAGGGGGAAGGAACTATGCCACAGATGTGCCTGAAGAGACAAATATTGGTACAGAGAGGGAGGTAGACTGGAATACATACAGTAAAGAGGAAGAAAGTTCAAACAAAAAGGAATAAAACATAGGAAGTAAATGGAGAAAGACAACCAAAGGTAAGGTTAATACTGACAGGTTTTCAGTCCTTCTGGGGAACTTTGAGTGTTACTTTGTTTTGTCCTGAGTCTACCACGGCTAGGGTTAGTAGGGAGGCAGGGCCCTTGACAGCTGAACAAATAACCAGGTCTTGCTAGTACTTTCATTGATTAATCACATTCAATGGACTTCAAGACTGACTCACTTTGTAGCAAACTCCACAATACATAGGGTATTGATTGGTACAGCCTTGACCCAGGGCTGAGCAGAAAATAAACAAGATCTTGGTCCCTAAAAACCTTCTCACAAGGACATACACACCACCTAGAACATCTGCAGGGTGCCCTAATCTGGCTGGGCAGACTAGGAGCTTGGCTGGCAGTTGCTAATATATTTCAAATGAGAGAAGAAAGACAAGAATTAGAGCTGTTAAAATTAGAGATGAAATTGTAACTGACAAATTGCTAACTTTTGCTCATGGCTACACTCTAAGGGACAAAGGTCCACCAAGGCCTGCGCATAGGTGCCACAGATGCATCTAAACCTAAGAATCAACCATTTTACTAACAACTGGGAAAGAAAATAGGTAACTCAGGCCTTTAGTCGTCAGACTGAACACTCCCAGGGAACTACTCTGGCCTCACTTCAGGAAGGACAAACACCCAGCAATTGTAGTATGGAAAAGCTTACACGTTATCAGCAATAGCGTCCCTGCTTCTGTTTCCCCTGGGTAGCTGCTTCCAGGGAAGGATGACGAGTGTCAGCAGTTAGTCATCTACATGTCGTTTTGGGGAGGTGGGGTGGAGAGGGCGGCAAGAAGCAAGAGCATATGAATCAACCTATAATGGGTACAAGGGAGGAAGGCTTCTCTCCTCTCCCCGTCCTTGTACTCCTGGTTATCCACTAGAAGCCACCAAGGCCAGATGATGACAGTGCATGAACAGTGTGGATAGTCCCACACACAAGGCTCACTGTAGCAACCTTCCAGAATGTTGACACGGCCACTAAAGCCATCCCTTCCTTCGCCAGCAAGAGTGAAAAAGAAAACAGAGACATTTTTCATTTCCTAAGGACTATGTATCTTGGTGGCACTAGCTTTCCTTCGAAGATGTAACAGAAAACAGGTTTAAAACTGGATCACAATGACAGTCCTGAGTGGTCTTCACAGTTAAGGCGGGCATACCTTTCAAAAGGCGGCCTCTGCACAGCCCTCTTCTCTCTCATGCACGCATACACTCACACACTCTCATTCAGTGGGAATGTTGTCCAGCAACCAGGCACGGCTGGCTCATGTCAGGTACTGCACCACAAGGAACATGACCACACATGTGAGGAGCATCCCGCCGATCATGAAGTACTTGTCCTGGAAAGCCCGCTTTTCAATGAGGCGCATCACTGTGTTGGACAAGCCCAGCATGTTGGCAATGTCAAGGATCTTCTTTTGAGTCCCCTGGGGCAGATGAGAAGATAAAGAAAAACAAAGATCAACCTGCTTGGCCATAGGTGATACAAAACGGAAGCTTCACTAATGGACAATCTCTTGGTCCTGCTCATGTAGAAAGCAACATCTGCCAGAAACAGACTTGCTCTCCTATGAGCAAGGTACCACAGCAATGCCAAGGGGAGAGAAAAATCTTTTTCCAAATAGTGCTGGAACTGCTAGCTATGTAATAAATTATCATGTATGCATTAAACACAAATACATGTAGCTGATAGTGTAAAAGTGGCCCTTGATTTCATATTATATATAAAATTAATTTGAGATGGATCATAGGATTAAACATAAAAGCTAAAGCTGGTAATAAAGCTTCAAAAAAACAAAAACAAAAACTACATGATATTTAAAAACTGGAAACAACCCAAGTATCTATCAGCCAGAGGATAGATGAACAAATTATGACATATCTGCATAATGGAATATTCCTTGGCAATAGAAGACCTAATTACCACATGTAACCAAACACGTAACATGAATGAACCTTAAAAATATTAGAGGAAGAAGCCACAGACAAAACACTAGTATGAATATAGTTATGCAAAGTTCAATAACAGGCAAAGCTGATTTATAGTGAGATAAATCAGAATAGTGGTTGCCTGGGGTGATGGATAGTGTGACTAGGAAGTGGCATTGGATCTCTCAGAGGCAATACAAATGGCCTACAATTTGAAAGGAGTGTGTTATACAGCTAGTAGCTTTTGTCAAAACTCACTGAAATGGGAGCTGGGGACTTAGCTCAGTGATTCCGCCGCCACCTACCTCTTAAGCGCAAGAACCAAAACTTGATCTCCGGTACCAAAAAAAAAAAAAAAAAAAAAAATTA